TAGTCAGCATCTAGATCCTTCCTTGGCTTCCTTCTTATCCTTAACTCTTCCTCCATACACTGAGGTGTGTCAAAACTATCGAGAACCACGAACCGCAAGACTCCTTCAGTCGACCCGAGATATTGAGTAAAGTCGACTGGACCATATTCAACCGTTAGTGGACCCTGACACGTCCGACCGTTGTCTTGCCCGAGGTCGACTTATTCTAGTCGACGGGCGTACGTCGACTCGGTCGAGAGCCGGAATTCTTGACTGAGTGTCGTGGAACCTTACTGGCGGAGTCGACTGTGTTTAAGTCGACTTGATAGCTTCGAACCGTGATGATGTGAACCGCTATGAGCCAGTGTGGCTATATCATATATTAAATACTTGTATAAAATAAAATTCACAAAAATGCATGTATAAATAATTAGAAATATATTATTTTATTTTTATATAATCATACATATATTATATTCATAAATTAAATATGTTATAAATAGTTACATTCGACCACATACGCTTATATGAGTTTATGTGATGGTATATTCGTATTAGTTATTATGTAAATACAATAATGAAAAAAGCTACTTGTACAATTATTTTGTACAACATTTTATGACAACATGATGTGGCATGATGTAGATAGTTGAGATGCAACTAAATGTATGGTTAAGATTTGAATCAATGATTGTGATAACTAGTGTTGTCAACTAATGTTGTCAACTATAATTGTACATGTAGCATTGCCCATTTTAAAAAACTAGTAAAATGCACGTGCGTTGCACGTGGTGAAATATTTTTTGCTAATTAATGTTGTGGTAATGAACTAACAATAATTAAATGTAGAATGAAAAGGTATATTATAAATCACCTTATACTACAAATAATAATTGAAGAATGACTTGTGCTTTACCTAATATAGAAGTATCATACTTGTAAGGACCTCCCAACAGAAACTCCTAATTCATATCAGTTTATACTATAAATTGTAAATAAAATTAATTATTGATTTTGAGCTGGAAGATGAAGCAATTGTTAAAAATTAATAATTGATTTTGAACTTGAAGATGAAGCTTGTATATGATAAAGTGTCTTAAATAGTTTGCTTCTAAATATGCATTTTTTAGTAAGAATCTTGGCCTACTGTTCCATTAAAACTTTCTTCACGAAGATATGTGACCGAAGATTATGTTGCTCAGTCTTTTATTATTTCTTTCCAGGTTCGCCTTATAAAGTGTTGTATGGGAATCAAATAAGAAAACTTTATTGTAGTCTTCCATATCATAACAATTGAATTGTGCTTCCAGAATTTGAGTAGTAGGTGATGGCTCACTTCATTGTTTATTATTTTTCCTTTGAAAATACTTGGCGCTTTAGCCTTTCCAAGTGATAAGCTACTTGTAAAATTCCTAGTCCTAAATAATAAAGAACATGAACATAAAGTGCTAGAGATAATTTAACAACGTTTCACGAGTTTAAATGTAAAGCCAATTAACTACATAAAGAATGCAATTAAAATTGTTCTTAAATTTAAATGAATAAAATAAGTAGTTATTATGTTCAACTCTTCTCTTTCTTTATGTTGATGATTTGAGGAGACGATTTTTCTATCATTGTCGTCTTTCTTTATCTTCTCGGCAAAGCGCTTTCTTTTTTGAAGTTGCTTTTTTTTTTTTTTTTTAGATGGCCCCTACTTCTTTTGCGCATCACTTCGGGAATTGGGAGAATTTGATGACCTTTATTTCATTTCATCATCATTTGTAGATTGTAATCTTACAATAGCCTCCAACCATGTCCAGCTGTCCTCTTGAGTTGTAGGCCTAATGATTGATTTGGATTAAAAATTGGAATTCAGTGATTAGTTGCAAGCTAAATCCTCGATAGTAACCAGATGATCCTTTTCCCTAATGGTTATAGAACAAAAAATGAGTTAAATTTGAGTTTATGAAAACGAAAATGAGTCTTATTGAAGATAAATTTACTTACCTGCTTAATGGATATAATGTAGTCGGCAATAGGACACCCCATTTAAACCATTGCGGCATCTTTAAAGTGTAATAGTACCATTGAGATTTGCTTCAATGACATTCAGAACCAACCTATATCTGTAGTTAGTAAATTTCCATTAGTTTGTTTTGTTTATAAAACATAATATAGGATATTTTTTTAGTTTTTCTTATTTCCGTGGAGTTATTTACACGACATTGTTGCACTTTTTACACGTGCTGGTGCCATCATTCTTGTCAACTGAGGATGAACATTTTTTGCTCGACTCATACCATAAAGACGCTTTGTTCAGGGCCTTGTCGACAAATCCCCTTAAACAATAGCATTTTCCCTGTATAGATAAAATGTGTATGGATTTAAATATTTATACCAATGAATATGTTGATTCTTTATAATATTAGTTTAAGTTACCTCAATGAGGTCATCACGATTGTTGTAAATTTGATGCAATGTAATGATTCACATCCTTTATTCTCCCTTCCATTGACGTTGCAATTATATTTGTTGACCTCTCATGTATTTTTAACCTAATAAAAATTATGAGAAGTTAGTTGCAATATTATTTTTAAATAAGTGTGATATCTTTTATATCTGATCAAGAATTTAGAGGATACCATTTGCGCATATGGTTGTTTCTCTCATGGTGTTTTTATTTGAAGAACATATGTTGCACTGGTTTGCAATTGAAATTAGCCTGATCAAAAACATGTGAACAATATAAGAGCAAGAAATGATATGTAGTTAATAAATCACTATAAATCAACACCATCAATAATGGCTCATCGCTAGGTCAAAGCACAAGTTCTACTTATAATAAATAGCTTGAATTAATTTGATATGACACGAGAGATAGTGATCATGTCTTAATTTAATTAATTAATTTAATTGGCCCGATCAGTCATCAAGCATACAAATCGTAAGAAAACGTACTAAATGTCAGTCATCATTCATATTCAATGAAAACATATTGGCCCTATCAGTCACCAAGAATATAAATCCTAAGAAAAACATACTAAATACCAGTCATCATTCATATTAAACAATATTAACTGATAATGTGTGTCGTGGTTATTGCTAATAGAGTATGAGGGCAAGCTCTTATTTTTTCGGTGATATCAAATTACTAATGGCAATAAATGGTCTATCTCCAATCATAATGTGTATGTTGGCTCCTTCATTTTGTCATGTCATCCCATAAAGAGACTATAATGGACGATACCTACAAATACAGTCAGTTCACAATTTTGTTATCATTATTAGTAATTTATAATGACAAATATTATATGTTTGTAAAAAAAAAAAAATATGTACTCTTGGTCCATATATTTATCTCTTTTATGGTTGTATTTGCTCCGGTTGCTTTTGTGGAAATTCTTGATTCTTTGACCTTCTTTACAATCCCACACATATCTAGAAAAAAATATAAATGAAATTTTACTAATAGAGTAAATGAAATTTTACTAATAGAGTGGAGTGCATAGAAATACAAATTTTATAAAATGAATAACATTTAAATACCATTTTTTTTTTCATTTTGATGACGTTTTACGTCGATGTTTCTGAACTTGGTGAGATTATAGGGGATATTTTGTTCTATATTTTCAGCTGCAAGCTTTACGGAGCTTTTGTTGGACCTTTTAAGATGTATTTCTTTTTCCTGATGAATGACCATTTGTGCGAGGCTTTGGGCCATTGCAGAGTCTGCGTATGTTGCATATGCTGCTGATCCTGATAGATGAGATTGAGCCGAGAAGCCCAGACTGCAGCCAGGTAGAATAAGCATAAATGGTAATAACTAAAAAGTTGTTTAAAACCCAAATGATATCTTTTATTAACACCATCTGTGACAAGGAGGTCCCTCACTTGCTCATTGTAAATTTCAATCATCTGAATGGAAACATCATAGCACATGTTGTCTTTTCTTTTCTCCGAGATAAAGAACAAATCACCAAGCGCCCTATAATTTACGCCTAAGTTTTCCTTTGTGAGTTCTTTTGGTCCTGTCTGTTAGGTTGTAGGGTAGAAATTAGATACTTAATGAGGCTACAATACACCAAAAGTCACAGTTTTTGAAAACAACTCTGACTTTTTTTCCTTGAAATAAAGAAATGTTTTGTTGATTTGAAAAGATAAAACACTCACCATTGTGTATGTTTTCCCTGATCAAGTTGGACCATACCCAAATATGCAAATATGCATACATTATACCCATCAAGGACAGAACTAACCAATGGCTGGGTGTCTGAAAATACTTCTGCAAAAATGAAATGGAACAAAGAACATAGAAACTCCTGCTTATTAATTAGGTTGTCAAGAAAGTTAGTTGTGAAAAGATAACTATTTGAAACTTCCATTACCTTGGCTTGCAGATGGACCAAAAACCCTGTTAAAAGCCTTTTTCCATGTTTATCAGACGCAAGTATTGTGAGAGTTTTTTCATATACAACTTCTATTGCGCTAAAAAAAGATGGCTGCCCAGGCAAAAAGGGTCGTATGCAGCAATATACCCTTATATTTCCTATCAATTATGCATGAGACGACATCATCAGAACATAAAACAAAATTTCTTACTTCAATTATGCTTCAGAACCAAAAGAACTTTTTCTTTTTTAAGCTTTGAGGTCTTGTGCTTGATTGTATAGTTTGAGTTTATCCTCTAGGACTTTTTGGTATCCAGAAGCTGCATGAGCCAGATTTTTTAGATGTTTACCTATCAACAAAAAAAAAAAAAACAAAACTCAGTTCGCATTTCATGATTGTTCCCTGTAAAAACATGAATCACAAGTTAAATCCATACCAAAAGTCTCAACTTCTTCTTCATAATTAATCCTTAGCATTTTCATCTATTCTCTTGTGGAATCAAGAGATAATTCCTACATAAATGACATAAATATTCCTGTCTACTTCAAATTGTAGATGTGATGTGTGTTTTAATTTACAGCTAATCACTAACATGGACCAGACCTGTATGCTTCTTTGCTGGTGTTTGACCAAGTTTTTGTGCTTCATAGCGTGTTCTTTCATTTCAAAATTGCCAGAATAATCCTTCTCATTTATTATGTTTGACACTTTACATTAGAACAAAGAGTGAACTCCCATTTGTATATGGAAAGATCTTGTTTCTACAGTTAATGACTAATGTAAATGGAACCTGTATGCTAGTTTCTGGTGTTCAACCAAGTCCTGGTCCTTCATAGCTTGTCCATCCAATTTATCATTGCCATTGTCATACCAACTCTGCCCTTTCATCACACTAAGAGAAGTGTCCCACAAGTATGAGAAACCATAACGAACAAATAAAATGTGAATTTTTTTTTTTTAATTTTGGAAGTCAATTTTGTGCATCTTACTGTAATCATACTATTGTAAGTTTAACACAAGCACAAGCACAAGCATGAAATTAAAATAGCACTGTCAATTTATTTATTATTTATAATTAGCTAAATCTCATATGCAAACTTGTATGAAATAGCAAAAGGAGTCAAAAGAATAAACCAAAAACAAATCATATCATAACAAAGTCATTAGCCAAAAAGCACACTTAATTAAAATCACTAATTTTTTAAGGTTAGCAAGAACTCTGAACTGGATGTTACAGCTTTTCGAATAACAAAGCAAAGCATACTATATACCAAATCATGAAATAAGAATTGAAGCAACAAGCTGTTAATTGACATTCTAAGCCAATTAGATGCACTAACCCTTTATTCTGTTGATAATACAGATATCTTAGAAGTTGGTGTATAAATAATTGATTAAACAATATACCAAATTTCAACAACTATGTCATCAAATACCAAAGCCCATTCAAAATCTCTCTACTGGCAGATTTTGCATTCAAGCTACTGAATAAAAAAAAAAAATTAAAAAAAAAGAAAAAGAAAACTATACATTACTTGCACAGTGGGCCGACTGGGAAGTCGGGTGAAGGACATCTTGAAGAGAACTGAATTTTCAGTCGGCCGCCGATGGAGGAACGTCGCTAATTCAGTGGCGTGCGATCGAGCGACAGAGCTCGGGTGAAGGAGATCCTGAAGGCGTTGAATTCTCAGTCAGCCGTCGATGGAGGAGACGTGAAGATATTGATTTTGATCGACGGAGAGGTCTCTTACCGATTTCGAAGCTTGGGTGAACGATTTGGCGAGGTCGGTTTGTGTAGGATTTAGGTGCAGGATTTGACGTCGCTTTGTGAAGGATTTGGTAGCAGATTATGAATGCTTTATTGTTAGGACATGATTTAGGACTCTATGTTTAATATTAAATTATAAAATTAATTTGACAAAATAAGGGTAATTTAGGAAAATCAAACTTTTACAGATTCATTGGCACATTTATAATAGTATCCCGTAGGCTGAGGAGCAAAAGGAGGAATCCGCCCGAGGAGGGGCTTGCGTCTGATTAGCTAGTTGGTGAGGCAATAGCTTACCAAGGCCATGATCAGTAGCTGGTCCGAGAGGATGATCAGCCACACTGGGACTGAGACACGGCCCAGACTCCTACGGGAGGCAGCAGTGGGGAATTTTCCGCAATGGGCGAAAGCCTGACGGAGCAATGCCGCGTGGAGGTAGAAGGCCCACGGGTCGTGAACTTCTTTTCCCGGAGAAGAAGCAATGACGGTATCTGGGGAATAAGCATCGGCTAACTCTGTGCCGATTGAAATAGAGTAAAAAAAAAATCAATGAAAATTCATACAACAATAAAATTCAATGAAAATTCACACAACAATAAATAATGGTAATTGAAATCATTAAATCCATTAAATTTCAATGTAATTTAATTTGATATCTGATGGAATAACCAATGAAATTTTATAATGAATGTTATACTAATGAAGTATCCATTGAAATTTTCAGTGGAATAACATATCGTTGAATTTTCATTGTAATATAATATTTTTTTTATTCCTTCTTAAATATTTATTTTTGTGTATTATTTTTGTCATCCCCAATTCTTGCACCCTGTTGTCTGCGGGAAGTTCCCGATTTCACATAAACTGGGCCCACATGTTCTTCACCCTCAACACTATTAAATGAAATTACAATATTGCCATTATAAAATCCTTTAACACTATTAGATTACAAAGTTGCCATTATAAAAATGATAAAATAAGGTTATTTTAGGAAAAACATATTTTTACAGATTCATTGGCTCTTTTATAATAGTATAGATTTAAAATATTTTAGTACTATCATAAATAAGAAGAAAAAATCAATACAAATATTAAAACTTTTTTTATATAAAATAATAATAAATGACAATATAAGATGATAATTTAATTTCATTCACGTCTTATTCCTTCTGCATACTAAATACATCAATAGAAAAATCTAGTTCATTCCATTCTTCAACTCATTCACTTCTTATCAAATTTCATTTCATTGTCATGCCATTAAATTTCCAATGGTTTTGAACTAAAAGTGGTTAATTTTTTTATTTTTTATTTTTTTAAAAAGGTTTTTACCGATATTCATTAAGTTGGAACTTGGTATACTAAAGGTGAAAAGTAGGTATACTATATACAATGCAAAATTTTGCAGCCTAATATACAAGGAATGGATCCATAGACATGAAAATCACTAAACAGAAGACAAGCTCGAAACCTTTCACTTGAAAATGCATTGTTAATTCAGAATTTTATTGTGATTTAAATACAAATAAACTCTCCATCTCTAGCAAGATAGAGATAAAAAACAATCATACAGGTGGAGGCGGCAAGTCTATCAAGAGCCAAAACCCAACGCAGTCTTGCGAATCCAAGTCATTCTGAATAGCAAGAAAGTGTAGGCCCCCACAGCCCTTTTTAGCTGCCTCCCAAGCTTCTGCTTCACTTGTTGTCACTGCCGTTTTCTTGTACGTCGCGTAAATGTACCGTGTTGATATCCCCACTGACAAGACTAAGCAAGCTCGGCCCGTATCAGCCTCAACCGAACACACTTCTAAGCCATTCATCCACGCTGCAGGAGTGAATATGATGAAATTAGTGTTTATTGCTTAATTTGCAAGAATTATACATCTGACATATATATATTACCTGCTAATGGTTTTGCTCGTGAAGATGCAACTGCAAGTCCAGGAATTAATGTATTGTCACCAACTTCTATCCCCAAAAGATCCCAATCCAAACTTGCACCAAATCTCGTCTCTAAAGACGACGCCTCTTCTCGAACAGCTGAGATGAGAAAAAACACTCTCGATTGTAAAGCATCAGTTATAGAAATAAAGAAAAATAAAGAGTGTTCAGTTAACTTGAGATTTTCAAAACAATTAAAACTCCTGGCTTCATGAGGAAGATGCACTCATTTTTACCCCCAAAGACTTACATTTGGCTATTTTTTAGTGTTTTTGAATACTACCTTAAAATCTCTAAGTTGTAATCACCTTAAGCAAAAGGTGTTGTCCGAAAAAAGAGAACTTTGAAAGGGTAGAGAGAAACAAAAGATCGGTGGGAGTTGTAGTGTACAACCATTCTGACTCAAGACTTTAGTCAGAGGTCGAGTAACTATCTCAATTTGAATTCGTGGGGTACCTGAAAATGGTAACTGCACAAAAGCCCATTTTTCTCCATATAAATTATCGGGAAGTTCCATTGGGAAAGGATTATTCAGCGTGAGAAGTGGCTTTGATCCTTTTTGAAACCCAGGGTGGCGAGTGTACACTGTCTCATAACGTTCTTCAAGCCACAGAACTAAAGATAGACACTGCAGAAACAACATATAAGACATACGACTTTGGGGTCAGAAAATCAAGAAATCTCACTAAGCAATAGACTACTCAGACTCCATTGTGGGAATTCAGTTCATCATCTACTCTATGAAACAGTCAAAATAAATTAATTTATTCAAGAAATGCCATCAGATATATCCTACAGAAATTACTTAAGCTCTTGCCAGACAAATTTAAATTGGTACCCATTTGGATGCACCGTGCACGGAAATTGTTTACTTCTTGAAATATCAAACAGTGCACCATCGTATAATGAAATGAAGAAACAGCATACGGATACAATTCTCTTCGTCTAAGTAAGTTCAATGAATAAGAGTTTACACAACCTCCTCACTTTTAAGTCCAGCTCTTTCAGAAGTAATTCAATATACTTTCGTCTTACAAACTTTTCATTCCACACGATAAATCCCCCAGCCGTGTTCTTTCCACCGATAGATTAGTTCACCGATAGATTAGTTGGACTTCCAAAGCACAAAAACCGTAGGTAAAATCGGAATTACTCACCCGTTTACTTGGGACAGGCTTTATACAAAGATCACCGCAAGCTCTTGTTATAATTGTCTGCATCTGTGACCTATATATCCACCACCAAAAAGCACACACACACACCATCAACTCCAACGCACATAGATTCTTCTTAAAGAACTTACAAATACCAACTTAAAACTATATAATTCTCCAAATTAACAGACACCCAATTTTCCCAGATTTTCAAATATCAGCTCAACAACACTCACCTGAAAAACCGAATTTTCTCGGGCAAAGACACACCGAGTTCATCGCAAATTGAAGCTATAGAATTCTTCAGAGTCACACTATTGATAACGTTGTTAGGGAAATACTTTGTGTACTGAAGGGAAAGTGAAGCATCACAGACGACAAGCTCCCAAATCCTTTTACCCCTAATATCAAGAATCGGCCTCGAACAAAAATCTACCTCCCACTCTGTGATTTTCTCCGGATTTGCTTCGGGGTCCAAATAGCTCAGTTCTGAGGTGGGGTCATCGTCTTCTTCTTCTCCTCCTCCTCCTTCGTCTCCGGTTTCAGGCTGTAAAGGGGTGGAGAAAACTGAACTTTCAGAAACTGAACGACAAGGTGGAAAATGGAGGTGTTTTTTCCTCAGATTTTTACTTTGGAATGAGCTTTCTAGGTTTTGGGGAAATTGGGATAAAGGGGTTTTGGAAATGGAAACGAAATTCGTGATGGGGTTTTTGATCCTGGTGGAGTTGAAGCTTAAGGTAGCCATTAATGGCTCTTGCTCTGTGTGGAGTAGAAAGAGATGATAGGAGAGTAGGAACAGTGTTAGCAAGGGTTCTTTTTTTTTTT